GAATTTTATATGTGTAAAGTGCTGCTGAAATTTTTATAGTATGTCACGCAATCTGTTTTGCAGAAAAATGTTATTTTTGACAACTATAATCTATTGCTGGCTGGGCTCAACATCATCATCGAGCTGCTGTTAACATCATCAGCTTGTCTTTGACCTGGGGTTACACATCATGTATCTCTGTCTTCTCTTTGCTGTACCACACAAACTCTTACTGCTTTTAACCTCAGGTCAGTAAGGTCTTAAGACGTTTCACCCCTTCTTCCCAGGCATTAGCAGCAGGCTCAGAGGTGCCCTTGGGGGCTGTGCAAGCTTGGTGGCCTGTCTGCTGAAGAGCCAGAACAACATTCATGTGCTAAGAAATGCCTTCCTTTCTAAATACCTAGTTTTCTACCCATGGGGGTCTTGTACAATCTCAATTTTAAGACCTCTGCTTCAGGGACTTCGTTTTTCATTCACAAGACTCTGCACAGATTACAATTTCCACCCATTTTCCTTGTTGTCTAAGCAAACAAACTGCTGTGATGTACTACTACTATCAACTGTTTGTTGATATTGTTTGAAGTACTATTTATTCTGTATGAAAAAAAAAACAAACCAACAAGCACTGTTGATCAGATAGAGATATTAGCTTGTATTTCAATTCACCAATTGGGAGATCTCCGTTTTTAGATTTTTCCTGCACAAATACTGGAAACTCTCCTTTCGGAAAATATACTGCAATATTTGCTCCAAGTTTGTTGTTTTAGCAGACAACCCTGCCAGTATAACATTTTGACCAGAAATAACCATGGTAACAAATGCAGAAGGCTAATGAGTACAAAAAGTTCAAAGTTGTTTCAACTACCCCTGTCCTGGCCTACTTCTTGTCTGTGTGTCAAAAATCCTTTTAGGATAACCACAGCTGTTTAAATTATCTTTTTTTTCAACCATTAGTAAATTAATGCTTCTTTTTTTTTTTTGGTATTTAAAAGTGAGATGAGACCTCCTAGTAGGATTGAGAAGAGCATTTTGAGCTTTTTTTTCTCACCCCTTAGAATGCTGGGAATGCTGAGGTACAAAGAAAGGAAACACTCCATGTGGATTCTGGTATACCACAATTAAGAAGTTGTTTTGGCACTGAACACAGGAATGCAAAGCCTGTCTTGTATTTTGTCCGTCATTAATTAAATGCAATAGTTTTAAAAAAAAATTCTGTCTAAGTTTCCACTTGAAGTTTCACACAGATGGTTCTTGTAGAAGCTGAGGGCTTGACCTAACCTAGTTTTGCATAAGACACAAGGCTGTCTTAGCTCCATGTTTACACTGGTACTTTAAAGGGACATATATGGATCTTGTGAAATCTGTTAAGAGAGAAACATAGCAGTTCACAACAGTCTAAGGCTCTTTCGAGATGCTTGTGACTCAGCAGCAAGTCAAGTACGGCCCTTGTGCCAGGGCTGTATTACAGATGTTAATTACTTCAGATTTTTAGTCGTAAAAGGAAATTAGGGACCATTAGGGATTGCTGAAACTAGTGTTGCCTGGTAGGATGCAGCTGTGTGCTCAGCCCCAACCCATCACACCGTGGGGGAGTGGAATCCCCTTGAGTGCTATCAGCGTGTTACTGCCAAAGCAGCAATCCCACAGATTGCGTTCCCTCAGCTCTCTGAGGTAGGTAGATCTTGGCAAGCTAGTCTGATGTCTTAGCCAAACTGTGCTTCCCAAGAGTTCAGCTGTCTGGCCTATACAAATCTGACTTTGGGTTCATGCAATTAAAGCACAGCAGTCTCTGTGGCTGGTGCCACAGGCAGGAGTGACACAGGTGACATCACATCACGTCTCCCTTCCTAACGTTTTGCCTTCATAGACAGGGTAGGCATTAACAGCAAGGTTGCTCCTGCAGAGAAGTCTGGTATGATGCTCAAATTCACACGAGTGGACCTAAAGCAAGAGGCCCCCCCAGGGTGCTGGTTTGGCTCCTCCCTGGTCCACAAGATGTTCACACCTCCAGGATGGGAAGTCTCCTTCCAAACAACACCTTTTGTTCACAAGACACTGTACCAAAGCAGCCCTAGGATGGAGCCCCTGTGCAGTCACAGTGACAGCTCTCACACAGATGCTGCTTACAAGCACTAGCAGACCATTCTATTTTGAGGAAATTTGAATGATACTTTGACCATCATTTATTTTTCTTTGAAGGGGCCATAATCTCAGAAAGGGTCGAGTGAACACCATGAAATTTGATTCTGGATATTCGCAAGGAAGATAAGAGCAAATATAAAGATACCTACAAAAATACCTGATTTTTTCGTATTTTTTACCTAATCAGAAGCTGCTAAACAAGAAGTTTCCAGAAGGCTCCAAAACATTAAGTCAAACTAATGTGACTAAGCACCCTTACTTTGGTATTTATCTCAATTTCAAAATACTTCAATCATTTAGTACCTGAAAAGTAACCCAGCTATGAAACCCTGCCATACTGTATAAGTGCTCTTTGATGAAAATTACACCACACCTTATTAATCCCTTGCGGGGGTAGGGCGGGGGAAGGAAAAAAAAAAGAAAGAATACTCCTTTAACTAAAGCCTGGAATGACTCGCAGCCAGATAGATGACGCTTAAGCAAGTATGCCTAAGTACAGTACACTTCACAGTTCATCTTGCTATTAGTCATACTTAAAAACCACGTATTTTAAACTAGCATTTAATAGGTATGTCCACTACGCATCTCCTGGATTAATCTTCTCAATTATAGATGTCCCTGAATAGGCATCATGTTTTCCACGGTCTCATGACATGAATCAAACAACACTCGGTGCAAACTCCATACCTCCCAAAAACAACCTGAGTTCGTGAGTCAGCTCCGCACACTGTGGCACTGTCGAAGGAAGGCAAGGACTGCACTTCAAAGGCTCACTTACAGGAAATCTGACAGTAAAAGCACCTAAAATAGTTTTTCCAGGTTCTAGATATAGTGAAAGCAATATGTAGTATCCCAGACTGATTTTGCTGAGTGTGTTTCAACACTGAAACCTACAGAGCTCAGAGCTGCAGGGTATCAGGTGTTTGTGGAATACAAATGTTTTTTCTGTACAATATTCAAACATACAACAGTTCAACATGACAATCATAGAAAGCAGCTTACAAACAACACTAAAATATTATTAAAACATGTATTGCTGCTACTGTAGTAGCTTATGCAAATGCAGGCTGCATTTATATTATACTCCGTACAAACATCACGAATAGGAAGAATCTTGCCCCCAAAGGGGTACAACCAATATATTTCAATTTTAGCACACATTCTCAAAGCTTTAAGCTATTCTTTCTTCCTGTTGATATACCTTGTCTCTTTCAAATGACTAAACTTATGACTGAATGCTGAATACATTGTCCTTACCATTATGCTACAGCACGTTACTTTTAGAAGTAGATTGGTGGTATGACTAAGAGAGCAGTTTGTTTTTCCACTCTTATTCTCCAGTATATACTCAAAATTCCCTTTCTAAACAGTCATGTTAGGCAGCTTACACCAGTAATATCTGTGAAAAGCAAACACGAAAGGTAAAGGAACAACTATTCAGACTTTTAAAAGCACAACAATAGTTTCAGAAATACTTTTTAAATATGCAATTCATTCTGCTTACTCGTGTGTTTCAGAAAGCTGCAGTGATGCTTTGATCTTTTTACCTTCTCTAAGTTTATAAATTTAGGAGCAATGCAAACTTACTTCTTTTTGCAAAGGAAGTTTTCAGATTACTAGACCAGCACAACAGTTTTTAAAGGTTTGCAGAAGTTTCTACCACTTGCTACAGGGAAAAGCAGACAAGCTGCTGGGTTATTTTTTCTTTTGCTGAAAAATTGAACCATGATTTTCACTATCTGTTTTCCTTTTCATACATAACTCCTAAGGACAGCAGTCAATTATTCAGGATAAGTAATCATTCTGTCAGCAAATAATGGTTTTAATGTTTTTTAATAGAGGCAAATTTTACATTAATTAAACTGTTCTTGACCAAGTAAGCTATGCAATAAAATAAAAGCTACACTTTGCAGGTCCCACAAAACAGAGAACTGACAGAGCACCCAGTTATTAAACGTGACACCAGCTATAATGGTTTTATAATATCACACATAGCCATGCGCTGGGGAAATCTTTCTGTGACCTGGACCATATAAAATAGCCAAGAAGTTTTCAGATGGTTTCTACATTAGATGATGCTTTTCTATTTCATGCTACAGTAGCATTGATTTTTCCAGAGGTGACAGATTTTTGGTGACAGTCCAAACTCACAGGAGAACCCTCAGCCCAGTGATGTGTTCCAGGAAGGTGCAAGCAGCCCTGGCACTGTCCTGCTGCAATATAAAGATGCTGTGCTTGGGCCTACCAGGGGAACCTGGTACATCCTCCACATTAATGGCCATGAGCCATTGGAAAGGGAGGGTTGTCTAACCCATTTCATAAGAATAAGAGAATTTATTACAGCAAAAACCAAAATATGCCATGGAAGCCCAAATATCATATGATTAATTTTAAAGCCAGAGATTCCTGCAGACACCTCACACAGTATGATTTAAGCTGCACTTGCAGGAACTCACATTTTTCTCCTCTGTTGCTGGCTCCATACCCCATTTTGAACTTTTTTTACTACACTAAAAAAACTTAACAAAATTTTTCATGATCCCTTTCCCTTTAAGCTGTGCAAGTGTGTTCAGCATCATTTTTTCTTTTGTTAGGGACTAGTTCTCAGGGACACTTTATTCCCCTTTAAAGACAAAAAGCAGAGGGGAAACATTAGGGGGTGATAGGAGCTTTGGCCCACAGCTTCTTTTACGGTTACTGTCTCTGAGACCTTAAAAAAATACAGGAAAGGGACAAGAAAATATGGGTTCTTCCTTCCTAATATTTGCTTTCTACTTCCCCAAGGCAATGGCTTTGTCTTTAGCCAGTAAATGTAAGCAGCAGAGAAAGCAAAATGTAATCAATACAAAGACTACAGTGTCTACTTAATGTCTTTCCAGGTGCTTTTCTTATTCCCTATATTCTCTTCTTAATCATTGCGGGAATGCCCCTGTTCTATATGGAATTAGCACTGGGACAATATAACCGAGAAGGGGCTGCCACTGTCTGGAAAATCTGTCCAGTTTTCAAAGGTAAGTGTCCCTCAGCACCGTGAGGGTGCCACACACCTGTGATCACAAACAAAGTAAAGGTCTCTCAGCTTTCACAGACAACATTGTACTTGGTGACCCTTCCCCAATCCATGAAGTTAGAAGTCTTTTTGTTATCACAGATGAAGCACAAAATGGGAAAAGCCACAGAAATCATCTTCAGGGTGACACCTGGCTGAGTGCAACAGAGAGCCACGAGCAGGAGCAGTTCAGCCCTGTCCTCCCTTTCCCCTGCACACTGGGGAGTGGGAGGAACTGAAGATCTCTAGGTGGAGGGAGGGGTTTGGCAATGCAAACATTGGAAATACCGAATCCCATGGGGGTCAGTTCAGCTCTGTCTTCCCCATTGACTAAGATAACCACTGCTCCAATCAGGGACCATGGAGAATTCTCTGCAGAAGTCAGCACACCACAGAGGCTACAACACTACAACATGAAGACTGTAGTTCAGCCACTGGATTTGTCACATCACACGAGTTCTCTGTGGTATCTCTGTGCCTCAGTTTTCCTGCCTATGAAATGGGAGCAATGATTCTGACAGACTTTGTTAAGTGGTTTTCAAATCTAGCAGTGAAAAGCACTCAGTAAAATCTGAACATTACTATTGAGTGTTTTCCACTAGGATTAACTCTCCAGCATTGCTGAATAAAAGGCTGTGGAGTGTTGTTTGTGCACTGAGATAAATCACTCTGCAAGTTAAAAATAGCCAAGTTAGGTGTTTGGATGCTGATCAGGGTGTTTAGCATTGACCAGGGATAAAAGGGATCTCCCTGTGTGAAAGAAACCATAGGTGTTCTGTACATGAAACAAGTGTTTGTTAAGGAGCCTCAAGAATTTTCTTAACCATTGCTTACCAGCAAAAAAATGTAAGTTTCCTTGTATCTATACCAGATTGTATCTAAAATTTTATACAAAAGCCTTTTCAACACAGAGCTACCTGAAATGAAACCAGTTAAGCTCAGCTGATCTTAGAACCTTAAAATTCTGATCATGTCCCTCCTGTGACTGACAAAAGCTGAGGAGCTTAACAATAGCAATCCAAACTTGAGGGATCTGCTGCTTGGATATAGGTTACACTGAGTAAATGTTAGTCTTCTTTCTCAAAATACAGCTTTCCTCTTCAAGCAATCTAGCGTCACAGAATAGGAAAAGTGAAGGTTTTCTTTCTTACCAGTCAAACTCAAAACACACAGCAAAATCAGAGACATAACAAAAAAATAAATTAGCAAGCTAATAAAATAGGTGCCCCAAAATTTTAAAATTAATTCATATAGATTTACCTAGCCCTTATATAATCCCATGATGGGAGAAAAAAAATCATCTCAGCACCCAGGAACCTGAAGAACCTTTGTATGACAAGGAGGATTTTGAAGACTGAACTGCAAAAATGAGACCTTCAGGATCTCAAAGTGTTTGAGCCAAATACCACTGTGCTCAGAGGTACTCTATGTGTTGACTTCAGGATTGAAAAGATTATGAGAAAAGAAAATAGAACTTATTTCATGTATAGTCTCGTTGACATTCCATTCGTGTTTTTAAGCTGACATTTTCAGGGTGGACTAAACATTCATTGCTGTTCATTTTTAAGGGTTCTTATTACAAGGATATAGAATAGCATAAGTTATTTAATTCTCAAAAATAAGCATTCAGTTGTATCTGCACCTCAGTATAAACTCAGTACTTTTAAAGTTTTAACTAAAACTTCTGATAGCACACAAATACATTTTACTGCTAATGTTTCGGAGTTGTTTCTGGGATAACTCAAATCTCTCACTCAAAGGAAAAGTACACAGTCTACACAAATTTATAACAGCTTCTCTAAATGAACAGCACTATAGTACTAATTTTAGCTGTGAATATTATTGCTATGAACTCTAAGGACTTCTAATGAGATGCTGTCATAACACATGCAATTAAAAATATATCCTGTAACCTTTGTAACACACTCTGTTTTCATCTCTGCATTTTTCTAGGGTTTATTTTAGACTGTGGGTGGAGCAGCATTACTTTTAAGAAAACCTAGAAACAGGACAGCAAATTCATTCCTGAGCATTCTCAAGATTTCAGGGAAGTGCCATTTAGGACACATTTGATCCAGTAATTTTTAATCTTGATATTAAACATCTCTCATTGCCCTTCTGAACTGGAGGAATGTCAGGAACACTTTTTTTAAACAGCAATCATCCAATTTCAGCTCAAGATATGTTATTCATAGTATTCATATTTTTTGTATTATTTGTATTTTAACATTCACCTTAATACTTAAGAATTATCCCCTGGGGTGATTCCCCCCTCCTCTCCATTATATTGATCATAATATATCACTAGAGTGTTCCTGTACTAGATTCATTTAAGCATCAAGGATTTGAAAATACAGTTTCATCTTTACTTTCACAGTTTTTCCCGTGTTAGGGAAGAGCAAACTGTTTTACAGATTAAAAGCCTCCTGAAGAGCAAAGAGTAACTTTTGTACACGCAGCAGTCTTTGAACTGCCAGCTCCTTCAGGGTCAGCATCTGTTCCTTATGCAAATTTCAAAGCAAGGATTAATACTCACAGTGTGTACTACTTCCTTACTTTATAAAGAAATATGAAAGCCTAATAATCTCCAACTGCTAGGCCTCCTATGCAGTATTCCCAAAAAACAAAACTGAAAAGATTAGAAGTACAGGTTTATACTTGGGTGCTATGACAATACAGTGATGTATAAAATGGCTGTAGTCTCTGTCTGTTATATGCAATATATACAACTTGGGGGGAGGAGTCAGGGAACAATGCTGCACACATACTAAAGGAAGAATGATTGAAGTCAAGGTAAAGAAAGCTTCCTGAACAATCCTGGCAACCAACTTCTGTTCTGCTCCAACATTAATACCAAAGCCTCCTGCAAAACCGTTGGAAAATGTCCATTTTCCAATGGACAGTGGAGGAGAACAGGCACACTCTGGCCTGTCTTGCTAAAGGATCCCTCCAAACACACTTCGCAATACGCAAAAACACAAAGCAAATGTTCAAAATCAAAAGAGAATGTTTACACTGGGAATTCTGTAATCCCAGGGAGATAATAAAAAGGTTTGAATGTCCATACGCAGTTTAACCCCAACTTGATATTCACCAAGATTATTGGCATGCCCAAAAACCACCTGGAGACCCGCAGTGGAATAGCACAGACTGTTTCATGCATGGTTTGGACCAGTTACATGCTGATAGAAGCCAAACTGGAGAGTAATGATGGGAAAGAAACAAGAGAGGGATTGGTGTCTGCTCCAAACTAGTTCAGGGTGGGAACATGAGGCATAGGGAAACTTCATTTAAGTATCAAGCTTTACTTTTCCAAGAGAAGTTGCCAAGGTCTCTGACATCATGAAGATAAAGTGAGTTTCACTCCTAACATGGGCTTGCAATCTTCTGCATTGGAAGCAAATCAGCAATGGAGTTGTACAAGGGCAAATTTTGACATTGCTTAATTTCTTTTTCTGGCAAACAAGTGGATTTGATAAAACCCAGTCATTTTCCAAATTCATTGCTGTAATTTTTTGTTTTAAGGTCAGAGACATTGTGTCTGCATGTGTGTATGTAAATGGCAAAAATTCCTTTTACTGTTGTGAAGATCTAAAATGAATTTGCAATCATATATGTATGGCTGAGTACAAATACAGTGCTTGCATATACTGTTGCATGTCAAACACAATGTGTAATCTAGTTTTCCTTTGTCTTTAGGTGTAGGCTATGCAGTGATACTCATAGCTCTTTACGTGGGTTTCTACTACAACGTTATCATAGCTTGGTCTCTGTATTATCTATTTTCGTCATTCACATTTGAGCTCCCCTGGACAAACTGTGACAACAGTTGGAACAGTCCAAACTGTACAGATCCCAAACTCTTCAATGCATCAGTGCTTGGCAATGGTACTAAATACTCGAAGTACAAGCTCACTCCTGCAGCTGAATTTTATGAGTAAGTGTTGACTTGACTTTGCTTTTTATTCAAAATTCTATGTCTAAGAGTGTTTCCTCTGAAGGTTAGTTATCACCTAGCCTCTAGAATGAGCATCCCAGGAGTAAGGTTAAAATGGAGTTGTAATGTTGATCTGTGTTCCAGGGTGACTCTCTTGCCTCTGTGAGCTTTGGTTGCTCCTGTACTAATGCAGTACTTGCTACTGAGCAAAACGGAGTTGGACAAGACACAAATCTTCTCTATGTACCACTTTTGCTTGCACTAGCATTGCCAGGGCAAGGAAACACAAGGACTGTTTCTCTACTTGCAAAATATTTCAGAGCAGACAGCAGACCAGACCTCTGTTTGCTCAACTGCTTCAATAGTTCAATGAAGTGAGATGCACTGAGCAGGAGGAGGGAGCCAGGTTATAGAAAGACAGGCTTTTACTGATTCCTAAGCAAGAGAGCATTAGGCAACATGAGTCAAAACAGACAAAGGCACACTCAAATCAAACAGTTGGAATCAACCCCAAAAAGGTATATAAATTAACAACTGAACTAGAAAATAAATATATCAATCTGTGTATAAATATTTGCATTATTGACCTCTAGGGGAAAATGGGATTTGATTAGGAGAAAGAAAGGGGGATAAGTATCAGACTAATTGAATCAGCTGTTGAATTAATCTGAATAATCAGTTAATATTTCTGTGTTGGGAGTATCAGGGCATGCACCTTCTGAGCAGTGAGTCCAATCCTGTAGAAACAAAGGGACATTACTGTTACCATAAATAACCTCGTGTGTGTTACACCATGGCTGGCTATAGTAAGGATCTTGAGGTCTCTGTTTATAGCTCTGAAACATGCTGTTTCTTCTCTCAAGACAGCACAGCGAAAGATCAGTGGTGATACACAAACTGTTGGCAGGGGTTTGGGTAAACTAAATTCAGTGCTCTGAAAACAATATGGGGTATTGAGTTCAAAAGAACTCACTACAATGGCAAATAAAGACAGCTATGAAATCTGCTGCCCCTATAATATATGATGTGTTCACAAATCAAATGTAAAAGTAGATAATTTATAGCAAAAGCCTATGTATGCATGTAGTCAGAGAACCTGACTTTGAAGTGAACTATAAGAAATTATAAATTCTGAGTCTTAAAACAAAGAACTGCATTATTACAGAACTTTCATTTAAACATGTTTAAAAAGAGTTTCTTTCATTTTCTTGGGTTTGAGCCTTTGTAAAGCAAAATGCAATCCCTATATTCTTGCTTTGCCTTTTTATGATTTAAAGTGGTTCTGTGCATCTTCTGTTATCACATCACACTTGGGGGATGATTGTGTAGTGGGTGAGCTTGAGGTAGAGTGGATTCATGATGTTTTTATTTAGTTCCACTAATCTGGGGAACAGCTCTATTTGTGATTGTCTGTACACTGAAAACTTGAAATATTTTGGTTCTTTCTTCACTGTAAAATAGATTCGAGGTGCAGTTTTCAGAAGGCAAGAATAAAAAGGGAATTTGACCTTTCATTATGCTTTGATTCCTGAATTTTGGGGCTGTACTTAAGTCCCTAGGCCCTGTACTTGTTAGTAGGTAGATTAGATTGCAAAAATGAGAAGAATAATCACTTAAGTAAAACGATCTATAACATCTATTTCCTCAGCTGTAAAAACAGGGAATCACAAGGAGCATTATGTTTACCTGTCCAGTATTTGGATTAGCTCATCAAGTCCAGCTGTACAGCTCAGGTGTAGACCCAAACTTGTGCAAAGTCTTAGTGTTTTCAGATCCAACCTAATAAACCACGTCAGAAAGCAGTGCTGCTTCTCTTACATCAAATAACCTGACTCATGCCCGTGGTCTTCTTACAACAGGAAGAGCTGAATCTTCTGATTGTAAAAGTTTCCTATTTTGTGCCACAAGATGAGGGAATGGGTAGTGGTTTTACTTAGGTCAGAACACACACACAGTTTTGCCCTCTGGTGGGCAAGCTGAATGGGGAGCAGGGCAACCAGAAACACCAAACATTCATTTTGCAGATGGAAAGTGATTGAAAAGAGGTAGTTCCAAAACTGGCTGCAAGCAGAAGGATGGTGTGATTACCCCTAAACGAAACAGGCACTTCTCTTTGGGACATGATTCCTTCACACAAAGCTGGCCTGACCATGAATTTAGAGTCAATTAATTCCTAAAACCCTGTAGCTGCCAGAGCTGACTGCCTCTATCTCCATCAGCACAGGAATAAACTGTAGGAGGAGGTGGGAGTACTGTGATGTGACATCACAGTTCATCAAATACTTCAAGAAAGGTACCTCAAATTCAACAAAAATATACTGGTTGTCACCACTTACACTGAGTGAGAGAAGGCAAAACTTGCAATCCAAATCTATCAGCTGTCCAGTATTTGACAGAGAGGGAGACCAGGGGAAATCATCTAAGCCTCAGACTTGGAAGAAATCAAAGTTGCAAATTCCATGCCAAGGCAGTGACAGAAGAACTTCCAAAAACATAGTTGGCTTTTGTTTTCAAACCTCAAGAGTTGGACAGTAATTGAGGTTGAACTGGTTCTACACTGAGGCCTTCTAGAGAGTTTCATTTTACTAAATCTGGTTTCATTTTTTCAGGCTTAATTGAGGCCAAGGTGCCATTGATGTCATAGGGACAGTTTCCTACAACAGGAAGGAATGGAACCTCTACAATACTTCATTAGAGATGAATTATAAAATCAATTATAAAGTATTTGTACACTGGAAACTTAACAAAGCAAGCCAAGCCTAATAACAGCTGGTGCCTTTCTGCTAGTAATAGCCAGACATAAGAGAAACCAGTTAGGAATAAAATGTCAATTCCACATTTCTTTGGAGGCACACATCACTTTAATTACTTCCCTCTTCAGTGGTTTGGAATTAAACACAAAATGCAAAGAACCTTCTATCCTTTCCACATATGTTAAAATAATTCATTATAAACCTTTTTTTTTTTTTTTTTGGAAAAGCAGAAGTACATGACTGAAAAAAAAGTCCCCCTACCTACTCCACATCACTCCTATTTAAATACTTTGCCTGAACACAGGCATATTTTACATTTGTTCTCTCCAACCTTGTGTCCAGGAAAAGTTTGCTACCATCTTGCTTTCATTTATGCTGACAATTAAGAAATACCAGTTTGGAAGAACAAAACCACTATTCTTTTCATGAGGTACTGTGCCTGTAAAAAATCACAATCTGTTGTAGGAACAAATCTTGGCAATTTTTAAGAAAAAACAGTGAAATTATCAACAAATATATTAAGCTACAGCTACTTCCCTCTGATAGTACTTTTTCTCAGGGCTGTAATACATTCTTTCTGCATGAAAAATAAAAAACACTTTTACAGGGAAATTTTCATGCCAGATTCAGTAAAGGCAATTCACAGAATTCACAAGTCTGCCCAGCTGTGAGTAATTGCAAAAACCTACCTAAGAAGAAGGAATAAAGACAAGATTCAGTCACAGCAGTCTACATCTATCATATTTATTAACATAAACTTATGAGGAGTGTGAACCAGGAATGTCCTGAGAAAAACCTCACCACATACAGTAAAGGGTACTTTTATAGACCAGTAAGTTTGTGCTTTTGGGTGCAATTCTTCACCAGAAATGCCACCCCAGGCAAAGGGTCCACATACCTCAGCATCATGTCAGATGGAGTGACCAACACTGTGTGCTCCAAAGGAAGATATAGGAACCTGTCCCCTTAAAACAGCTGTGGAACAACTTTTCCCAGAAGAGATAACATCACTTCAAAAGTCAGCATAAGAAATTCTGCCTATAAATGCTTCTGAAAACTGAATCAGACAGCAACAACTAATGAGAGTGGAGAACCCTATATTGTGCCTGGTAAGAAAGGACTCTAAGTTCATGGTAAACATGATCAGCAGCTCCCAATGTCCACTTTTCTGAACAATAAACCTCCACTGCAGACATCTGAAGCTTAAAGGGTTTTCTTTATTCGACATCCATACTATATAAACTAATTAGAGTTTGTAAGCAAGGAGAAATTAAGAATCTCTCCAGACATCTAAGGCTTACTCATGTTTTGCATCTTAAGTGAAAGGAAATTTGTCAGATGTTTGTGAGAGGTTTGAAGTTGGGTAGCAGTCATCTGTTTACCTTCATAGAGATCACACAACCCAAGACTAAGAATTCTAGCCAAGTTCTGTATCTTCACCCCTGGAAAATACCCTGAATGTAACAGAAAAAAACATCCTCTGATTTCAGTGGGTTTAGAATCTTGTACATTATTAAATACTTTGTGTGAGAGATTCATGGGCACATTGGTGAAATAGCAATAAGCCAGCTGTTTCAGATATCAATTCGATATTAACTGCACAGGCATATTAAAGAAGTGTCTGGCTGCATTGTTTACACAGCCATAGATGGAGACTAATATATTTGCATCACTGCAGATTGTCTATTTAATTTTGACCCTGCTGACATTTTGGACTCATAAAAGTAACTCAGTCTTTCTCATTTTGACTCAGTGCATGGAAATTTCTGCTACAAGTATTCATGTTCATAAAATAAATACACAGCTTTGAAATGTATTTTTCAATATTTGTTCACATCTTCACATTTGTTGACCATTTACTTATATAAAGAGAAAAGAAATTAAATGCGAGTACAGTGGAAGTCAATCCTTGTAAATGTGTACACCCATTCTTAGGCTTTGGGCAGCTTTATGGAAATGATTCCTAAACCACAACATGCCCCTGTGTAGCAAGTCCAGAAGACTTGTTGAATGACCACTTTGACAACTTAAATTTGCAGTGGGTTTTTATGAGATACTGCAAATGTCAGGAGTTGCACATTATGCAGTTGGCTTGCTTTGTGCTAACTTGCAGGAGGAATTCTAAATGCTTAACTTACATACAGAATCTTATGCAGTTTGGCAGCAGTACCAATATTTACAGTCACTACAGTAGCTGAGGTCAGTGCTGCAGCACCTCCCCTATATTATCTTGCATTTGAAATCCGG